GCCCGAGAGTGGCCGGAGCTCTCCATACCATAGCCAGTTAGATGTGAGGTCTCCACTCAACCTCTTACCAGGCTCCAGGCACTTTCACATCCCAGGTAGGCACCTGCAGCCCGGAATCCCTGGATGGATGCTCCGTGGGGTCACAGGTGCCTGAGTCTCCCCCTCGATGCCACACAGGCACCGAGAAGCTGGTTCCTGAGGGACCCCCCTAACCAAGCACCTGCACCAACCCTGTCCTCCAACCCCAACACACCCACGGGCTTCAGATTATCCACTTGACAAAACCAACCTCCATTAGGACGTCAAAGAAGCAGTCCAGGGAAGAAAAGAAGCAGGGAGCTCGAGTGAGATACCGCGAATACCTGAGGGCTGTGAGGGCCGCAGCAGGAGCGCACAGTGGTGAAGGCCACATGCTTTGGCTTCAAAGCTCTTGGGATGGAATCCGATGCAGCTGCTTATAAGCTTATGACTGTGGGCCAGTTACTTGGCTTCCCAAGCCGCTGTTATTCCTTCTGTACAGCCAAGCACTGTTCTGGGCCTAGAGGTCGCAACTGTGCTCCACCCAGCCCAGATCCTGACTTCATGGTATTTGGTATTTTATGTACTAATGTAGGAAGAGAGATAAAAAATGAGTAAACAAATATATAAAGGATAATTTCAGGTAGCGATAGGTGCCATAAACATAAATAAAACAGGCGATCCTGAGATATGATGGGGCTGAGAGAGGCCAGGCTAGATGGGGCAGTCAGGAAGAGCTTCTTGGAGGAGGTAATATTAAAGCTGAAAGATGAGAAGGGGCCCGGCCTGGTGGCTCACGCCTGTAATCCCAGCACTTTGGGAGGCCTAGGCGTGTGGGTCATGAGGTCGAGAGTTCGAGACCAACCTGTCCAACATGGTGAAACGCCATCTCTACTAAAAATACAAAAATTACCTGGGCGTGGTGGCACGTACCTGTAATCCCAGCTACTCAGGAGGCTGAGGCAGGAGAATTGCTTGACCCTGGGAGGTGGAGGTTGCAGTGAGCCAAGATCGTGGCACTGCACTCCAGCCTGGGTGACAGAGCAAGACTCTGTCTCAAAAAAAAAAAAAAAAAAAAAGATGAGAGCCAGCCTGTGAGAGAAGCCCAGGAAAGACAGACGGGACAGCAACGTATCATGTCATGTGACCGCAGGTCATGAGAGGAATTGAGAGGAAGACAGGGCATACATGATCCGAGGTGGGTGTGGTTTGGACAAGGTTTCCTCCTTGAGTCCAGGCAGAGCCAGCCTGGACCTCAGTCTCCTGACACCAAGCTCAGTTTTTCACTCCCACTCACATTCCCTCAAGAGCTATGCTGCTGTTTCATCTACACCTTCCTCGGCGCTGCCTAGAGGGGCCCCATCCTGTCTGTCTTCCAGGGAGGGGGAGGGAGGTAAGCTGAAATTCGGCTGCGGCATCCTGGGGATTTTCACATGGAATGAGGTGTGGCCACTAGTGGAGGCAGTGGACACCTTCTTGCATGGGGCTCTGCTGAGCACACATACCCCTGTGCCTGCATGCTCACCCTTCAAGCCCCGGGTCCCCTCCTCAGCACCACTTGGATCCATCCATTCTCTTCCCGCACCTTACTTGGAACCTGTGGGGATGAGGTTGGAAGCTCAACTTTGGAAGAGGATGTCACCAGGGGAAAAAGATGGTGGCCCCTTAGAAAAAGTTGTTGCCCCTTCTGAGATCAACTGACCAAGTACTGTCTCCTTTTCTCCTGTCTCTCTCTCTCTCCCCTCCCCACTGTCCCTTCCTGGTCTGTCTGGCAGCTGGAGACAGTAACATCTACCGGAAACCCCGATCTACAAACGGCGCATGGTTATGTCAGACGCAGATGGGGGACGTTGGCCACACAAGGAGAAGGGGGAGGTTAACCATCTATGCAGATGGCCCTGCACAGGCCACCAGGAGCCACAAAACCCAAGGCTGCATCTTGGTCCTTCTTGTTGACTGCCCTGTCACCCAGGGTGACATTAGGGAGGAGTTTGGTGTCATTTCAAAAGAACAAAGTCCTCATGTCCCCTCAGTTCTTTCCCACCACCTTTGCAATCTCCTCCTTACCTGCTGTCTGGCATCCTAAGTTCCATAATTGGTAAAACCTTTGTAAAATGCACATACCCCTGGGAGAGACACACTCTAAGGCATTCATACTCAAAGTGTTCATTAGAATAACATGGGATGCATACAGATTCCTGGGCCCCACCCCAGGCTTACTGAATTGGAATTTTGTATTTGTCACAGTGTCTCCAAGTGATTCTGATGCTCAGCCCAGCTTGGGAACCCCCGCTCTAAGTTGTTCTCAGTCCCAGTCTCCTGAGAGTGGATGGAGACTTGCAGAGGAGACGTACATGCGTAAGAAGCAGAGGGTCACTTCCTTCTTTCATTCATTCCTTGATTTAGTGTTTCTTAAAGAAGGATCTATGGACCATCTGCATCTGACAGACACTTAAAAGGCAGATTGCCTGGCCCGTTCCTTGTCCCAGACTCCCTTAATTATAAATATTGAGGGTGTGAACTAGGAATCTGCACTATAACTGGCTTTGTCCATGATTCCTCCCTGCACTTAGTATGAGAACCACCAAGTCATTAATCACTGACACCACCTGTTCATTTTTGCAAAAAGTACTTACTAAGCCTCGATTGAATGAGCACATCCCTTCCATTGAAGCTGCAGAGGAGCAGCTGCCACCCTATGCACCTGCACTTGCTTAAGGATCTAGCTGGATAACAAAGCAAGGCCCAGAATCGGTGGAGCTTAGAGATGAATGAAGCAGTCCTGCACCAGGTTCTGAACTAATTAGCCGGTGGAGTGGACAGTACAAGTTTAAATAGTGGCTCTGGGTGCCTAACATTCTACAGTTTAGACAGACATCCTTGGTTCCAGAGGGGGCTAAGCAGGGCGTCCGAGGTGAGTCTGTGAGCATGTGCACATCTGTACCAGCCTGTGAAGGACGTGCCATGTCCCCTGAGTACCCACAGAAAGAAACCAACCTGACAAAGGTGGTCTGGCTTTTTGCCTAGAAAAGGCCCCCAGGTCGCAAGCTTCTCAGGACTTCGTGGGATTTTCCAGGCGGGCTCTGAGGGATGGCACTAAAGCAGACTCAAGAGGAGTCTGGGGTGGAGGTGGGTTGCTTGGAAAAGAGGGCAGAGGAAAAAGCTAAATACAATCAGCCAGGAGTGGCTGCCCAGGACCCAAGTCAAAGAGAGAATCTGAAAGCTTTGGAAGCAAATGTAGTTGTGGGGGCTGCATAACCTGGGGCTAACTGAAGCTGATCCACCACCCTCTGCCACTCTGGCTCCACAGAGCACAGAGCTTGTCCCTAAAGCTTCCTGTAGTTGACCATGAGAAATGGTCATGCAGCCACACACTCTTCCCCAGCCCCTCTCTCTGCCCTACCAGCCTGTCACCCACGTTTGGGCCACTAGAAGTCACTGCTCTCTAAGTAGTTGTGACTACAGTGGGTCTTTTTGGTCACCCCTGTCCTGGGCTTACTTCAGGTGGAAGCTTGAAGCTGGGTGGCACCTGAGCCAGCAGACCAATTCTGACACTTACAGATGAGGAAACCAAGGCAGAGATGGTAGGGCCTGCCCAGTGTTACAGCTGAGTAAAGTGGCAGAGCTGGGACCAGAATCCAGCTTTGCTGACTCCCTGTCTAGCACTCCTTCCTTCAGGCCATGTAGTTCCTGAGCAGAACAGGCCATCTCAGGTTATGAGGAATCATGGCGTTCGAATTTATAACAAGGCAGGCTTCTAAAGGGCTAGGAAGGTAAGGGTTGGGGCTCACCTGGGACCTGTCGAGTCTTATTTGAGGAGCCATACCCTTAGAGTTCATTCTGGAACAGACCTGGAAATCCATGGAATGTGCTGGAAAGAGCCCTGGGCTGGGGTCTGGTCCAGTTCTGGTGCTCACATGCTATGTGGTCTCAAGCAAGCCCCTTCCCCTCTCTGGTGCTCTGATTACTAAATGCAGAATGAAGGTTTGGCCCCAGTGCTTTTCCAGCTCTGATGCTCCATGGCCCAGTCCTAACAGAGAGCCCTGACCCTGAAGTGGCCTCACTCCCCTGGGCTGGAGCCTGGTAGAGATAGGAAAGGGTACACAGTCCCAGCCCGGTCACTCTGCCTTCCTGAAGTGCTCTCCTTGGGTCCTTTGCAGGTGATTTGTCTACAGCAACCAAGAGCAAAACAAGTGAAGACATCAGCCAGACCTCCAAGTACAGTCCCGCCTACTCACCAGACCCCTACTATGCTTCGGAGTCTGAGTACTGGACCTACCACGGGTCCCCCAAAGGTAGCACCCCCATAGGAGCTTAGGGCCAGGGCCCTATTACTTGTGCCTAGGACACGGGTGTTCAGAACAGTTGCCGACTCCTTTATACAATCATTCTGAATAAGAGTGCTTAGAGAGTTTATAACTGAGGGTGTTTATTCATTCAACGAATATATACTAAACACTGGCCATGGACCCTAGCAATACACTGGGGAGCAAAACAGACCAGGTCCCTGCCCTTGTGGAGAAGACATAGGCCCCAGCCATGAGAGGGATGTGATGCACAGAAGGTAGGAGAGCTGATGGCAGGAGCCTGCTGTCCAGCCTGAAGATGACAAAAGCTTCTCGGATGCAGTCACTCAGCTGCCATCAGGAGGGTGGCAAGGATGTAACACAGCAGAGAGTATAGAAATACCTCTGCAAATACCCAAGATGTGAGGAAGGATTCCATTGGAGGAAAGAAAAGGCTGTCCACTTAACCTTGAACTCACAAAGGAAGAGAAGCAGTAGAGATGAGGGAGGAGTTCCCCCGGGGTTTTGAGGGTTGAGGTAAACATTTTGATTGTTATCCTAAACAGTGAGTGGCATGATCACATTGAAAGTAGTGGCACGATCACATTTGTGCTTTTGAGAGACCACTTTGGCTGAGGGTAAAAAATGGTTTGGAGGATGGAGAAAGAGAGGAGGTGGGGAGGTGGAAGGCTTCTGGTAAGGGGGTCTCAGTGGTCCTCAGATACCACCTCACCCAATCATACAATCCAAGCTGTTCCTCTCAAGTATGGGGGGAAAATTTTCATCAAGATCCACTCTGATTCAATGTCTTTACTAATTGAATGTGCATTCTGAGCAAAGCTTCATGGAAGCTCAGAGATAACTCCTTGGGGCTGGGCACCGTGGCTCGCACCCATAATCCCAGCACTTTGGGAGGCCAAGATGGGAAGATCACTTGAGCCCAGGAAATTGAGACCAGCCTGGACAACATGGCACTTCGTCTCTACAAAAAAAATTTTTTTTAATTCTCTGGGCGTGATGGTGTATGCCTGTGGTCCCAGCTACGTGGGAGGCTGAGGCAGGAGGAGTCCTTGAGCCCAGGGGCTTGAGGCTACAACGAGCCATGATCACACCACTGCATCCTAGCCTGGGTGACAGAGTGAGCCCCTGTCTCGAAAATTTAAAAATTTAATAAAAGGATGACTCTTTTGCTACTCTCAAAGAAGTCTTCATCTAGAAAAGAAGGTAAGATACAAATACAACTATAACCAAGTGGGCAGTGATCCGTCCCTATGGGAGATGAGTGTTCACAGACCACAAAGGTAGCAGAGATCACTTTCAGCTGATGTGGGGCTTAGCTTAAATGAGACTGTTTCCATTGAAAAATAAGATTAAAAAGAAAGAAAAGTGGCTTTTCTTTTTTTAAAAAAAAATGCCTTAAGCCAGGCCGAGTGGGGTACACATGCTGATCTTAGCTGTCTTTTGACAGTGCCCCGAGCCAGAAGGTTCTCATCTGGAGGAGAGGAGGATGATTTTGACCGCAGCATGCACAAGGTGAGCAGGCCACACCACTGAGTAAGATGCTTAGAGCATATATCACTGAGGATCTTTTCATTTGGGTATATCGCTAAGGATCTTTTCATTTGCAAGTGACAAAAAACAAATTCAAGCCCACTTATAATAGAAAAAAGAAAAACATAGCTTTGCATAACTGAAAAATCAAATGATAGCATTAGCTTAAACTATGACTAGATCCAACTGCTCAAAAAAATGCCATAGAAAATTTGTCTTTTCACTTGTGGAGCTTGCCTCTAGATTGGCTTCATAGTCAGGCAAGCTGTGTTCACATAATGGTAAGCAGGTGCTTGCAACCCTTGTTCGTTGCTGGTGAAACCCTTGTTCCAGCCACTGTGGAAAACAATTTGGTGGTTCCTCAAAAATTAAACGTAAAATTACCATATGATCCAGCAATTCCACTCCTAGATATATACCCAGAAGAATTAAAAACAGGACTTAAACAAATATATATATATATATATATATATACACACACACCCATATTCGTGGCAGCACTATTCACAACAGCTAATATACGGAAACAATCCAAATGTCCATCAGCTCATGAATAGACAAAATATGGTATATCCATACAATGGAATATTATTCAGCCATGAAAAGAAATGAAGTAGTGATACATGCCGCAATACAGATGAACCTTGAAAACATTATGCTTAATAAAAGAAGGCAGATACAAGGTCACATATTATGTGATTCCATTTCCATGAAATATGCAGACTAGGCAAATTCATAGAGACAGAACATAGATCGGTGGTTCCCAGGCCCCTGGGGGAGAGGGGAATGGGGAGTGAGTGCTTCATGGGTATGGGATCTCCTTTGGGGGAAATAATGGTATTTGGAAACGAGATAGAGGTGGTAGTTGCACAACATTGTGAATTCACTAAATGCCACTGAATCATTTCCTTTAAAATGGTTAATTAGAAGTTACGTAATTTTCACCTCAGTTAAAAAGAAAAAGGTGGCTATCTGACCATTGTTGAATCAATCACTGTGCCAGGACAATGGGATCCTGTCACTGGCCAGGCTTGCTTTTTTGTGCCCACCACCAGACCCCCACCCAGACCACAGGACAACTTGTGGAAGACCAGATGAGGTTGCAACAGGAAATATGGGTGCCACAAGGTGGGAGGGATGCTGGGAAGGCAAACATGAGAGCAGGCTGCTATAGAGAATGCGATCCTCAGCCTTGCCCAAGCCCGTTCCATCTCAGTGTCCTTTGCTTTCCTTCTAACTTCATCTTGCTCTTCCCCCACCCTCAGCTCCAAAGTGGAATCGGCCGGCTGATTCTGAAGGAAGAGATGAAGGCCCGGTCGAGCTCCTATGCAGACCCCTGGACCCCTCCCCGGAGCTCCACCAGCAGCCGGGAAGCCCTGCACACAGCTGGCTATGAGATGTCCCTCAATGGCTGTAAGCACTGCTCTGGAAGCCCAACGAGGGGGGACACCTTCCTCCGTGACTAGCTGGCAGTGGCAGCTGTTCTCTCTGAGTCAGGCTCCCTTGAGGCACAGCCCATGCATCCTCTCTCTTCTTCCTCACAGCAGCCCTGTGGTGGGTGGGATGCCCTTATCACCCTACATATACAGATGGGGAGTGAGGGCACAGAAGCCTTTGGTAACTTGCCCAAGATCACTCAATTTATCAGTAATGGAGCTTACTTAATCAGCTTCCTTGCCTGTTTTTATAAATTAGGTTCTATTGGAATGTAGCCAGCCCAGTCTCAATCCCCTGGGCTAACAAAAGAATCAGAAGAGGCTGGCCACAAAGGTTAGCCCCAAACCCTATAATGCCCCCTCTGGAAGCTTCATCGAGGTCTAGAATACGATTTGGAAAGGGGCTGTATGGGACACCACATAAGAGCGTGCTCTGCCTGGAGCAGTCACTCCCATTGCTTTGGGGCATCTGAAGCTCTGACTTCCAGTCAGATTCAGTGTAAAGAAAAATGTCTTATAATCATCAGAATGGCTCAAAGATGCAAGGGATGGCCTCCTGAGGTAATGAGTCTACCATGACTTGAAGTTATATAAGCAGGGGCTTTATTCAAACACTTCTTGAAAATCTTATTGCAAGCTCCTCCCTATTCCTGGACACACACACACACAAACACACACACACTCTCTCTCTCTCTCTGTCTGCCTCCTCCTTTTCTTACTCCTGTGAGATGCAGTCCTGCCAGGAAATCTCATCTCAGATCAATAATTTATGGATAATAAAATGCATCATTTGTTATACTTCTTGTGCCAGGCATTTGTAGGTATGTTACACTCCTGTAGAGCTGCAATGTAGAGGGATTATTTTCACCCGCTTTTTAGATGAGAGAACTCAGGTTAAGCCACTTCCTCCAAGTGAGAAAGCCAGTAAGTGACTGAGCCAGGATCAGACCCAAGTTGGAGTGGCCCGAAGGCCACAAGCTCTTCCCTCTTCCCCATACTACACCTTGACTCTCAGTGAGATTGAAGATGTTGATGTTGGTGGCAATAATGACACAATCAGTTTTATGGAGTGTTATAGATGCGTCAGGCACTATGCTAAGTATCTCACTGTATTGTGTCACATATTCTTCACAGTAATCCTACAAAGGAGACTATCACTCCCCATTTTGCAGATGAGAAAACCGAAGCGTGATTAATTAGATTGTCTGAAGTTAGATATCTACTAATGGCAGAGCCAGAATGAACTGCTGAGCCTGTTTTCCTGCCTGACCACTGAGGGCCGCTGTGTTCAACCCCTGGCTCTGGGGTCTGTGCAGTGCACCAGTGCTGTTTGCAGTTCGACTCTGTTCAAGCACATCTGCACAACAAATATCACAGAGCACCTGCCCTGTGCCAGGTGCCAGGCTAGGAGCTGGACAGGGGAGGGAGATGGGGTGCAAGTGCAACAATTAAAAACTGACCAGTGGGGAAGGAGGGGCTGAAAGAGGCCCCTTTTCCCAGCCAGCCAGGGGGACCGGGTATGGAAGCCACATCTCTTTGTCCCCATGAATTGTCTCCACCATGTTTGTCTGTCCTCATGAGCAATGACCTTCAGCTTTTCTCTCCTGCAGCCCCTCGGTCGCACTACCTGGCTGACAGTGGTAAGTTCTGCCTGCCCTACCTTCAGCCCATCATGTCCCATGAGGGACAGAGCTGTGTCAGCTGCAGTTCTCCATAGCTCTAATGACCATACAGTGTGGATGTCCTGGCACACTCCTGACCTCAAATAGTCTACCCCGTTGTATTTTTCAGATTGTGGGTCTGCATTTGGGGTTCTGGAACTAGGATTGCCATCCCCAAACGATGGTCCCAGAGAGAAAAAAGTGCACATACCTCTTCTACCACCTGGGAGCCTTCCTACCTGGGTTCTGAGCTTGACTTCAATTCCAGGGCCTTTGTCCAGAGCCAGCCTGTGGCCAGGACACAGGGGTCTATCACAGGAAGATAGAGATGTGCAGATCAGGGACAGAAGAGTGTATGAGTGGGTGCCTTGGGCAGGTACCTAGAATTCTGCTAGGGTGAAATGCCCCCAGAGACAGTCAAGTTGCAGATCTGGAGAGCATCAGGAAGAGTTGGTGGCCTCTGGCCTCCACCCCTTCCTGCTAGGTTGGGAGCAATATTGGCCGTTGGTGGCCAGATGACCTCGGGGAGAGGGACTCATGGCTTGAGACTCCTGGTAATTGCTCTAGATCCTTCTTTTCAGATCCTCTCATCTCCAAATCTGCCTCCCTGCCTGCCTACCGAAGAAATGGGCTGCACAGGGTAAGAAGCTGTGCTGGGAGATGCGGGGGGGATGTAGTCCCCAAAATGCTATTAGATCCAACATTAGCTTGTTGTAAGGTGAAATCTGGGCAAAGGTCCTGGGGCTAGTGGTGGGTTAACTGAAATAACCGTATGGCAATGACTTGCTCCCCTCCCTGGCGACCCCTTCATGAAAAGGGGCCCCCATCGGAGGGGCTTGGGAACAACTAGTATTTATCGGGCAATAACTCTGTGCCGGGGACTCAGCTAAACACTTTGCAAGCACTAATTTGTTTTGTCCTTCACAACCCAAGGAGGTGGTTACTATCATTTACCTACTTTGTGCATGCAGAAAGGCACAGAGAGGTGAGGTGACTTGCCCACACTCTTCAACAAGAAGTGGTGGAGCCAGAATTCAAGCCCAGTCCAGCTGATCCCACAGCCCACCCCCACCTGCTGTGCTCCACTGGCCTCTAACATGTCCTGTACGTTTTCTGAGCTCCCTGAGCGTGCTGCTATGGAAAAAGAAAAATGATGAGCAGGATAAGGATTGAGAGTTCATGGAAGGAGTGACTTGCAACTTCCAACCAGGTTGTCAGGGCAAATCTCCTAGAAAAAGGGGTATTTGAGCAATGAAAGAAAGCATGAAGTGAAATTCACCAAATAAATGGATATACATTGAGTGCCCAGCATGTGCCAGGACAAAGCACAAGGATGGAGCAACGAGTTAACTTTCCCTAACTTGAGACAGAGGCTGCTGAGAAGGCCCTATGTCCCACAAGCGCTGGTTCATTTTCTGGAGGTGGGTGAGTGTTTCAGGGAGGCAGAAGTGAGCTTATCTCAGGCCAGCCCTGGTTCTGTCTCTTCTGCAGACGCCCAGCGCAGACCTCTTCCACTACGACAGCATGAACGCAGTCAACTGGGGCATGCGAGGTGAGTGCAGGCCTACATGGGGTCTGCAGGGAGAGGGCTTCCGGATGTACCACTCAAAACCGCTGCTTGACCCTCGGCAAATGATGGCTACAGATTCTGTCCCCACGCTGGGCTGTGTCCTTACTCTCCTGAGTTCTTACTCTCTTTCACTTCTCACCTTCTCCCTTTACCCCTGCTCTTCCCTCATCCTCTCAAGTCCTGGCCTTGGATGATCTCCAGGCCACCTGTTCCATCTGGGTTCCCAGAACCATCACAGAGTGCTGCTCTCCTCTCCCTGGATGGTGGAGCAAGGGTTGCCTGCCAGTCCCAGTGGAGGAAGCACTCACAGCCAAATACACACTGTTCCCAGTAAGAATTCCATGAGCTTTCTGCTCCCTGCCAGTGACGCTTTCACACCAACCTTGACCAGCTCCTATGAACAAACTCAGGCAGCAGGGGCCCACATTAGAACCTCGAAGGATTCCCCACAAAAGACAGAGGATCTTGTCCATGTGTTTCAGATCTCAGATTCTTCTAATTTCTATTCTAAATATCTCTAAGGCCATTTTTTCCTTAGAACTATCTCAAGATCAGCCCAACCCCTATCTTCAGCCTTCCACTGTGCTCATACCATTCTTGATTGTCCTTCAGCGTGAATTCAGCAAGGACAAGGTCTCTGGTGGTCAAGAGAAAGAGACAATAGAGGCCAGACCCCCTGAGAGAGTAAGACAGAGGCCCGTGTAGTGATGCAAAGCGAAGACTGATGGGCTCCATTCTGTGTGTGTGTCTCTTTTTCTCTCTGCAGAGTACAAGGTAAAGGATGTGCATAGACCCTGGGAGTCTCCAGGATTCTTGGAGCTGCTACACTGGGGATCACCAGGAGGATGACAGCACTGTCTTTGTAGGGAAGGGAACAGAGATAAATAACCCCAGGGGTCCTTTCAAGACCAACATTTCCTGTCCCTCCTTGGCCCACTTTTCCTGAATCCTGCCCTAGGTCTCTTGCCTACTGAAATCAGATACTCTCCCTGGGCTTTAGAGACACTCTGGTGACTTGCCAGTCGCCAAATATTAGACACTTACATTCGGTAGGTCATGTGCCCATATTATACCATGGGCACATGGCAAATACCTCCAAGCTCATTCCTAGCAGTATTAGGAGACTCTCTGGGGCCTTGCCTTTTGAGAGAAGGTATTTTAAGGCTGCTGGGAAACCCCAACAAGGGCAGATCCAGCCCTTCCTCCAGACTTAATTTCTGGCCCTTTCTGGATAGAACAGAGAGCCCAGACACAAAATATACCTGAAAGGAACAAGCCTACCGCCCTCACCCAAGCTGGAGACCACCTCCCTTTCTCCTTAGATCTACCCTTATGAACTGCTGCTGGTGACTACAAGAGGAAGAAACCGTCTGCCCAAGGATGTAGACAGGACCCGTTTAGAGGTAAGTCTAAAAAACTGAGCAGGAGCTCTTGGGTTCAAAGAAATTTTGGAAGTTGCTTGGTCTAATCCAGCTCAAGAGGGCTGGGTGGAAGAGTGGCTTTAAGATCACACAGCTTTTTGAAAAAGCAGGGACTTGAACCAATTTCCTCAGCCCAAAACTTCCCCATGCTTTTCCCCAAAACTGCCCCATGCTGTTCCCCCAAAGCTGCCCCATGCTGTTCTTTGCTGCCTCCTCTTCAATTCAGTTAGTGTCTGTGGTGCACAGAGACAGTAAGTCCTCCACTAGGGCCGATGCTTCTGCAGAACTGCAGAAGAGCTAGATTTGCTCCCTGCCCCCAAGGGGCCTGCAGTCTCAGGATTGTGCATAAAACTTGTGCTTGTGATGGGGGACAGAGGGAGGCAGCACTGTGTAGAAGGAAAAAGATGCATAAGTAAGTCTTGAATCAAACTCCCTAGGTTCAAACTCTGATTCTGCCATCACTAGGCGGGCAGCTTTAACCAAGTGACAACCTCGCTGCAACTTGGTTTTCTCCTCTGTAAAGTAAGAGTGATTGGTGTGCTTCCCTCACGCTGCCAAGAGAAGTGAGTGAGCCAATACCCATAAAGCCCTTAGCATAGAGTCTGGCAACATACTGAGTATGAAGTGCCCAATGAACATTAGATTACTGTTGTCCAGGGAAGACCACTAAGGCCTGAGGCAGTCAACACAGGTTTGCAGAAAAAGTCACGTCTTACATGGCAGCAGGCAAGAGAGATTGTGCAGGGGAACTCCCCATTATAAAACCATCAGACCTCATGAGACTTATTCACTACCAGGAGAACAGTATATGGAAAACTGCCCCCAAGATTCAATTATCTCCACCTGGCCCCATCCTTGACATGTGGGGATTATTACAATTCAAGGTGAGATTTGGGTGGGGACACGGCCAAGCCATATCAATGCCCTTCCCATCTCACCAGCCTCCTTGCTCCTCAGGGCCCCGCACTAGTAATCCCTGTGCCCCAAAGCTTCCTCCAACCCTCCTACAGGAGGGGTCACTCCCCTTGTCCTTTGACCTCCTCCAGCCTTCTATCCAAAGTGCATCAAGCACCTCTCACTCTCTTGTGTATCAGATCATGGATGTGTCCATTTCCTCTGCCTGACCCTGAATTTCTTAGGGACAAACATTGTCTGTCCTTTACTACAGGGCCTGGGCTGGGAGAGGTGTTAGAAAATGTTTATGGAATTGAGTGCAGGCTTCTGAAACAGGAGGCTCAGCACTCCTCGGGAAGAGCATACGAGCCGCCCTTGACTTGTTGGCGTGGAATTGGCCCAGGGTGGAGGGTTGGGGCAGGAGGGGAATGTACATTAGCCAGGAAGCTCTGCGAGTTCTTCCAACTCTAGCATGCTGGGTTGCTAGAAGTGGGTGATTCTCCTCACATTTTAACAAGGGCCTCCGCCTTTCACTGTCTCCAAATGAGAGCGTCCACCAGTGCTGAAGGGGACAGCTCCCAGGGCAGTGCAGTGAAGCCAGTTTTTAGGGATGGAAACATTCTTCAGGACATCAGAATCACCCAGAGACTTTTTTAAAATACCATACAGGGGCCCCACGGTAGACCGATTCAATCACAATTTGGGGAACGTGCTCAGGCCTCAGAACTATTTAAAAGCACCCAAGGATGTCTAAAGCATAGCCCGAGCTGAGGCCCATGGGCTAAAGACACTGCCCCAGCCTCCTGCACTAATTCCAGGAGGGGACTGAAGAAGGAAGACTGTGACCCTGTCCTCAGGGAGCTCAGAGAATAGATATTCATTCATCCAACAAATATTTACTGAATCATCCTCACCTTACAGAGGAGAAAATAAAGATTCAGCAAGGCTGTCATTTGGTCAAAGCTGATCGCCTAGTGATGACAGAATCCGAGTGTGAACTGAGGGAGCTTAACTTGAGCCTTGTGCTGCCTCCCCTTCTTCCACCATCACAAGCACTAGTTTTATGTACAATCCTGACACTGTGGGCCCCCTGAGGGCAGGGAGCAAACCTAGCTCTCCTCCTATGTCCACAGAAGCATCCAGGTACTGTTCAAGATGCTTGCAATATATCAATGAATAAAGCAGAGACCCCTGCCCTCTTGGAACTTACATTTTTGTGTGAGGAGACACAAGATGTGTCTCCTTTATTTGTGTCAATATTGTTAACACAAAGAAAAAATAAATGACACTATGTGTTAGAAGGTATTGAGTGCTAAGGAAAAAAGTTAAAAGAGAGAAGAGAAGGGGATTAGGAGAGGAAGAGGCGAGTTGCAGTTTTAAATAGCATCATCAGAGCTGGTCTCATTGGATGCATGCCATGTAAGCAAAGGTTCGAAGTAGTTGAGGAGTTGGGCATGCTTTTATAAGCAGGAAGAACTTTCTGGGCAGAGAGAACAGCCAGTGTTGAGACCCTGATGCAGGAGTGAGCTTGTTGTGTTTGAACAAAGCAGAAGGTGAGTATGTCTAGGGTCACATGAGCACAACAAAGATGAGGAGGAGAAGATGAAATCCAAGGAAACTGGGAGCAGCTCACACGATGTAACAGGTGCATGAAAAGATCACCATGATAGTGAAAGTGACCAGATTGAGTGCTTTCTGTGTGCCCTCAAGTGCTGAGCACAAGACCTGTATCTGCTCATTCATCCTCATGGTATTCATGATGCAGACACTAGGAAGCTCCCATTTTCCACAAAAGGAAATTGAAGTTCAGGAGGGGTTAAGTAACTTGTCCATAGTCACATGGCCATATCTCCCCGGCTCTAAGAGATGCTCTCTTAACCTTCCTGCTTTAACACCTTTCTATGGCAAATGTCAGATGGACAGTGGTGGCATTAGGGGCCTTGAGAACTGGAGGGAGAAAGGAGGCCCCAGCTGGCCCTTAGAGGAGAGAAGCCTTGGTCTCCTTCCAATGTGTCCTACTTGTGAGCACGTTACTTGAGGGTGACTTTTGAACTCGTTACTTGAGGGTGACTCTACCGTTCCTTTATATCAAGTCTCATAACAAAGATTTTTGAACATAGTGGAGAAACTCAACTAGAGAACCAATACCGACCACCACCCTCCAACAACAACAAATGATTCCAAAGTACAGTTTCCCTCAGTCTTTACCATGGAAGTAGCAGAGAGGGGGACTCTCCTATCCAGGGTGTCTTTCATCACTTACTTGAGTAGCACAAACATGGACAAGTCAATAGTACAAAGAAAGAGGCAGGGTCTTAGGGATCTAACAAGCAAATACAATGTGTGGGCACTGCCTGGGTCCTAATTCAGACAAACCAACTGTAAAAAGACATTTTCAAGACAGGAACTTTGTAATGGGCAGGTATCAGGGAATTCTGAGGAATTCTCGTTAAATTTTCTTGGGTTTACTCGTGGCATTGTGTAACCACAATGTGAGAAAATATCCAGTGTGTTTTGAGATACATTCTCAGGTGCATAGGAATGAACTGACACAAAGTCTAGGCTTTGCTTTAAAATATTTCAGCAAATAAAATAGATAAATGAAGCAAATGTGGAAAACCTCACAATTACTGGATCTGGATAGTGGACATGGGCTTTGTCCCGTTTTCTCTCTTTTGTGTAGTTTTGACATTTTTCATAGTAGAAAGACTTACTTATGAATTTTTTAATGGGGCTGACCAAGAGGGACATTGGGAATGTAATGCATTTTGCCTGGACTTTGGTCCCAGCTCTACTACTTAAAAAATTATTGACCAAAAATTGTCAATATTACCTTTGCTTGAAATTCTGAAGGTATGGTGAAAATGTTAGTTCACATAGCCATGCGCCATGGCTCACACCTGTAATCCCAGCACTTTGAGAGGCTGAGGAGGACAGATTGAGCTCAGGAGTTCAAGACCAGCCTAGGCAATATGGTGAAATCCCACCTCTACTAAAATACCAAAAAATTAGCCCAGCGTGGTGGCGCACATCTGTAGTCCCAGCTACTTGGGAGGCTGAGGCAGAAGAATCGCTTGAACCAGGGAGCTGGGGTTGCAATGAGCTGATATGCCACTGCACTCCAGCCTGGGCAACAAAGCGAAACTCTGTCTCAAAAAAAAAAAAAAAAAAAAAAGTTCACAGTGACAACAAGCCAAAGAACTGACAAATTATTGTGTGGTCACATACATAATTTTCACTGAATCTCCTTCATTACCCAATTAGCTCAGGTAATTGCTACCAACAAGCCAGCTTAAGTGAACCCATTAAGTTTCCAGGCAGTATATATGCCATATATTTCTCTTTTTAAACTTAATTTTAAATTCCATTTTGAAAAATTTTAGCTCTCCAAGAAAGTTTCAAGAATAGTAAAATGAACATCCATCTACCGTTCACTAAATACACCAATTGTTAACATTTTACATTTTAAGTGCTGTATGTTTCTAACTCTAAAAGCTTTTGACAATGTATCACACTTTTAAAGCTGCTTAGAAGGGAGGAAGGGAAGGAGGCCAGAAAGAGGAGAAAATCTACTATAGAATGCAGACAAGGGTTTGATTATAAAGCATACTTGTTTTCATATCAGAAAAAGATAAAAGGACACTTTGGTGCATCAAAAATTATGGCAGTAATGTTTTTCATTGACTGGCCTGATGAACAGCCTTCCAGATCATTTGTTAAAACATCAGTAAGAGGAAATATCCCCTAAAATCTTGGACATGGCTCCTTTTTCTCTCAAAGGGGAGTGAGATAGCGTGAATCCACACACACTTCTGGATGCAGATACATGGAGCAGGCATGCAGAAAGGGAAGGAGTCAACAGGGGACTCCAAGGGGTGTGTAGTGGAAGCGGAAGCCCCACTTGAGTCATAGGCACAGGAGGCCTCTTCAGCCAAATCAGCTCCAGAGTCCTCCCTGGGGAAGTGTTCATTCCATATTCACTCATTCAACAAATATTCATCACACACGCCCCAGGCTCAGGCACCATGCAAGGCACAGGGTGCCCGGAGGGAACACGCAGCACCCACTGCTGCCTCCACCTGCCCCCACATCTTGCATCCTCATGCTGCTCTCTTTCTCTGTCCCCCCACCCCCACCTGCCCTGCCTCCTTCAGCGCCACCTGTCCCAGGAAGAGTTCTACCAAGTCTTTGGCATGACCATCTCTGAGTTTGACCGGCTGGCCCTCTGGAAGAGGAATGAACTGAAGAAGCAAGCCCGGCTGTTCTAGGCAGAGGCTCTATAAATATATATGCATTTATATAAAGATATATGTAAAATCTCTCTACTGAAGCTCGGTATAATCCTCTCTTGTGTAATGGGACACACTGCCTGCCATGAGACTTGCTTTTCTGTACTGTCAGGCAAGCCCACGTCATCGAGATATTTTTATGCTCCTTACTTTCTCTTTTCTAAGTGCTGTGGGATCTGGGAAGGGATTTGAGGGGACTCTGTCCTTTTATTGGGGATCCTTTTTATACTGAAACATCTGTCCTAACTTGAGTGCCCCAAGGTCCAACTCTCTTTCCTAAAGAAGGTGCCTGAAAAAGTCTCTCTTCTCTCTGCTTCGTGGCCCCTTTCTTAAATTTCTAGGGCTGATGCTGACCATGAGGTTTCCACACCTTATTGGCCCCAGAGGGGCCCTCCCATGGGAAGATCTGCAGCAATCTCCCCAAATCAATGAGCGCCTTTGAGCGCCCACGAAGAACTTTCTCAACACCCCCAATTAGGAGCTCCGTGCTCTCTGGGGGCAATGCAGTTAAAAGTGTGAGTCTCAAATATAGTTATTACACCAGTCAACAGAAGTGGACAGGGCCTAGGCCTCTCCTCAGCTCCCTAACCCTCCTCCTTCTGCCCTGGATTGTAACCTCTCCCTTGTCCAAATCTAGGATTCATGGTAGGAAAAGGAAAAGGCCCTTCCCTTCCCTCCACCACTTCCAACTGGCCCCTTTGCCTGACCTGGACTTGGAGAACCAGAGGAAAGGAGAGGGAGCGGAAGTGGGAGACAGAGCAGGGCACCTGTTAGAATCAGAGCTGCAGGATTTCTTGGGACCCTCCTCTCTCCCTCACTGCTCCCAGCACCTCCTGACCCTTCCCCCTTTCAAGGAGAGGCCCATGATTGCAGCTTGTATTCTTTAGCCTTATTACAATCTATGTGCCTGACAACTCAACACACCGCAGGGCTAATGTTCCCACCAGAGCTCCAACTGAACAACCAGAGAGACAACTCTCACCGCCCTCCAGAGAGAAAATAGGCCATGTCCCAAAGAAAGGTTCTTGGTCTATGCCTCTGGTCTGTGGGCTGGCAGGGCAACCATAACATACCCCCACCAGTTCTCGGCTCCTGCTGCAAAGTTGGCCATGTTTCACAGGGAAACTTTTGGAAGAGTGGCTGCTTATGAGATTCCAAAATGAAGTGTTGGCCAACATCGCTCATGGCCATCCCGGATTTCCCCGGTGGCTTCCTTTCCTGCCTGCTCGCCTCCCTGAACAGGGGAGAAAACTTAACCTCTCTTCTCCTCTCCAAACCTTTCACCTTGAGTGGGCAATGTTTGGTGGGGGCTGTTCCTTCTTCGAGATGCCTTGAGTCAGACCATTTTGAGATCATGGAGGAAGGATGAAGAAGTGAAAATGACAATAATGACTCTCAAGAGGCTGGTGATGTGACATGGCAAATGTAGAACTGACTTAAATTGAACAAACCCTCACTGAGCACCTCTGATGTTGAGCACCTGCTGAATACTGAGCACTGAATGGGGGAGGGGGAGGGGAGCACAGGGGTGAGTCAACCTGGGACTTGGTCTCAGGGACATGCCTACCAATAGTGGGTATCGTAAGGCATGTACCCAAACATAACAGATGTAAGGCAGAAAGTGATCAGAGAAGGAATGAGAAAGTGTGCGTGATGTTAATGAAAAGTCATATGCAGTTAGAGCAGATCAAGGAAAGCTTTCTGAAAGAGATTGCATCTGAGGAAAATTCAGGAAGGATCTTTGTAGATTGGGAGGAGATTCTAAGTTGAAGGGGTGATAGGGTGAGGGGCCACAGGGAAGTCTGCTGTGTTCTCATGTAGGATGTCAGCCCTCCCTGCAACTTCTCTTTTTGGCCAATGTCTTTTCACTTTCCTGACCCTTTAGAATCGTCCCCAGCCAGAAGCAATCATGGAAGCTGCCTCATTGTCACTGGTTAAGAACTTGGCGAGATTGAAGGGCTTTTGTTATTGTTGTTGGATATTTTTGTTTCCCATAAAAGCACATCATTTCAACCCTAAACCTGTGTCCTTCTGTTGTTTCTTGTGTGGGAGTGGAAATGACTGACATGGGAAGAGGCTGACCCCTGCACATTTTTCAAAATAAAAGCACCAAAACAGCAGCCACTCCTTTGACCTCAGTTTCTCCTTCTGTAAAATGAGAAAGTTTGGTAAAGGTAAACATCACTCAGATTGTTTTCTGTAGAATGCAGGATCCCTCAAGATGCTAGAGGATGTTCCAACAACAAAGAAGTTCTGTGATCAAAAACAATAATAATAGTTCCTTATTACTAAGCACCAGCAATGTTCCAAGTTCTATGCGAGCACTTCACACCCATCATCTCATTTAAGCTTCTGAAACAACCCAAGAAGTAGCCATTATTAATATCTCCATCTCCTAAATGAGTAAATAGCTTTGAAGAGAACCACAATTACCGATGGTAGAGCCAGGAATGAATTCCAGCCTGTCTGACTCAGAGAGACCGGCTTACCACTCTTATTAGGCAAAATCCTTCCAGCTGCAGGTAAAGAGAGCACCTTATTACAAGTGGCTTCAACGGTGAGAACACGTGTTGTCTTGCACAACCAGAAATCCAAGGCACAGAGTTAGTACATTCAGCAGCTCACGGATGGAGTCCAGAGCCCAGGTTGTTTGTATCTCTGTGCCCCACCATCCTCAGCATGTTGACTCTTGCCCTCAGCCACATGTCCTCTATGTTTATAAGAGGCTTCTGTGGCTCCAGGCATCATGTCCTCACACAATCATATCAAAAAACAAGAAAGTCTATTGCATGTCTATTGTAGTTGGAAAAACTTCTCCTAAGTCCTCAGTAGACTTCCGCTCGGATCCCACTGGCCGGAACTAGGGATATGTCCATGCCCCTGCTGCAGTAAGGGCTGGGAAACTGGGCATTTGGCATTTTCAGCCTCAACAGGGGGAACCAGGCTCTCTACCAACAAAGAAGAAGGGAGGAGGGCAGAAAAGGAATGGCCTGTGGTTGAGGAAATCACAGCGCCTCTGCCACAACCACTGTGCCATGAAAGAGCACATCACATCCCTTCTCTTGTAGACTCACAATGCACATTGCCAAAAGTCCTGAGAAGTCCCACCATAGTACCCTTGTTTAATCCAATATTTTATAAACGAATTTAACATAACCTCTGTTTAAGACATGCTAGGCTTACTGTTATTTTGTTGTTGTTGTTGTTGTTGTTGTTTTTGAGATGGAGTCTCACTCTGTCGCCCAGGCTAGAGTGCAGCAGCGTGATCTCGGCTCACTGCAAGCTCCGCCTCCCAAGTTCACACCATTCTCCTGCCTCAGCCTCCCGAGTAGCTGGGACTACAGGCACCCACCACCATGCCCGGCTAATTTTTTGTACTTTTTTTTTAGTAGAGACGGGGTTTCACTGTGTTAGCCAGGATGGTCTCGATCTCCTGACCTCATGATCCACCCACCTTGGCCTCCCAAAGTGCTGGGATTACAGGCGTGAGCCGCCATGCCTGGCCAGCTTACTGTATTTTATCTGTTCAAAGATGCACACTTTTTTCACATTTCAACATCTCTGAAGATGAGATGTGGCTTAGAATTAAAAGTAGCTCCTTTTCTGAGCTCTCATTCTGCTATTCTTCAATAAGAACCAATGCTGACTTTCAGCCCCAACATGGCCCCTCCAGACAGGTGGCTCAAATGTGCAAAACGATACTCAAGAATGCATATTTGCTCCCCGCCTACACATGCACCCAACAAATATTCGTGAGCAAGTATCTCCTGCCAGGCAGGAGCACTGAGGATACAACAGTGTGGAAGGCAGGAACGGGCTTTCCTCATGGACTCTGGTCTAGAGGAGAAATGAATCATAAATAAGGAAACAGAAAAAGAGCTGGCACATGAAGATAAATGCTACAGAGACAATAAATAGGTATCATGAGAAAGGAACTCACTTCATATGCTAATCAAAGGATGAAAACCAAGTACCTGGGGAAAAATGGGATTGGTAGCATTCTTGGCATAGAGACAGTGGATGCAAAGGCCCTGGTGTGAGCAAGAGCTTGGCTTATTGGAGGAACAAAAAGAACCAATGAGGATGGAGTGGAGCAAATGCAGGGGAGAGTGAGATTAGAAGCGGTGGGAGGGCAGGCAGGGGCCAGCCATGTACAGGGTCTAAAAGGACACCCCTCAACCATCCAGGCTTTGTAGAGGGTGCTTTGTCGACATGCTGGGTGTAGGAAGAATTGTTCCAAGCCTTGCCACTCAAAGTGTTGTTTCTAACCGGGAACACTGGCATCACCCAGGAACTTCTGTGAAATGCAGAACCTCAGGCCCCACCCCAACCTGCCCAATCAGCATCCGTATTTTCATAAGATCCCCAGGTGATTCACACACATGGTGAAGTGTAAGAAGCGTTGCTCTCACCCATCTTCCTTTCATGAACAGACATAACATTTTGAGTCAGACTGTCTGAAATTCTAGACGGGGGCCTTTCCCCACACCTGCAACCCCTTTGGACACTGGAGATCAACCTTACATCAATAAAGCAGAACATGACTTTGGAGGCCACAGAAACCACAGAAGGTTAGAGCTTAAAGCTAATAATACAATAGTTGCAATTCGCAGCCATGATACAGGCTGACTGAGTGAGCAGATCAGAACCAGAAGCCAGCTCTCCTGTGCCTGCAGCCCCTCATCCTCACCGGGCACCCAGTTCATAGACATGGGCGCCAGCTGTGGAAGGTGTCAGCAGCTGCAGCTGGCCACAGAGCCAAACGTGGACTAGAAGGCTGTTATTCAGCACTGTTAGCAAAATTCAAGGGGGCAAAAGCACTACTAAAATTAATAGCAACTAACCTTTACAGAATTATGCCACTTCTGTGTGGAATTAAGTTTTAAACATATTATTCCACATCAGACTTTGAGTTGCTAAAAATCTTGACTGCACAGTGATAAACACCTACCTACATACTCAGCTATGGGCAGCGCCAAGTCACTCAGAAGCCCTGCAGCAAGACTCCAAATGAATAGAGTCCAGGGGCTGTGCAGATGAGGGTCGGCCTCTTCCCACCACTCACAAGCCTTTCACCTCTGTACTTGGCCTGGTCCAATATGATTGGCCCAGAGACACAGACGAGAGAAACCAAAGGCCAGAAGTCACCATCTATGGTCAGCCTCAGGGAAAATTAGAGCTAAAAGTGCAGATAAATGAGGCTTAAAATTGCCATGACATCTATGTCCATAGCCAGAAGAATTTTCATCCCAGTTCTTCCCAGATTTCAGTCATTCAAGCATCACCTTCATGATCTCATCAAATTGTTTATTTTCTTAATACTATTTACTTGATATTTTTCTTTCAATTGACATGTATCTGATGTTTCTATTTTAATGCCAGGGAAAAGTATGGGTTTGTAGGACTGTTTATATGGGGTTTTTTTGCTTGTTTGGTTGGTTTAGCTTGTTTAGGTTTGTTTAGTTTTGTTTTTTAAGAGACAGGGTCTTGCTGTGTTGCCCAGACTGGAGTCCAATGGTGTGATCATAGTTCACTGTAACCTCAAACTCCTAGACTCAGGTGATTTTCCTGCCTCAGCCTCCCCGAGTAGATGGGACCACAGGCACACACCACCATGTTCAGCAAATTTTTATTTTTAATTTTTTTGTAGAGATGGCGGCGGGGGCGGGGGGTCTCACTACGTTGCCCAAACTGGTCTCGAACTCCTGGCCTCAAATGATCTTCCCATCTCATCTTCCCAAAGTGCTGGGATTACTGGCATAAGCCACTGCACCCGTCCTGGTTATATGTTTAATACAAATTCACAGAAATTCATAACTTTCCAAATATGTTGGTCTGTGTAACATCTAAACACATCTCACATTTTCACCAATTGTCTGAATTCCACACTTTGGGAAACGCTGTTTTACCTGATGGAAAACAGAGGAGAGAAGGTGATTTGTATTCCCTCAACACCCTCATGATAGCTGGTCTTTGGGGCACCCAAGAGAAACAATCTGAAAACGCTGCAGAGAGAGAAGAAAACCCAAAATTCTTTGACAACAAACAGGGCTTGCTGAACCACAGCTCACCTGACAGCCGAGACTTTCATATACCAGTGGTATCCTGCTGGAGCATCATATAGACAGAGCATCCCTGGACCTCGCTAAGGTTTTCAGTGGATACAGCCTCTGATTTTCCCCGATGCTGAGGGTTGTAAAGCCTTTGCCTCCGGGTATGCTGCCATGAATTCCAGCGGGGACAGTACGGCGTCATGGGTAAGGGCACCTGGTTAGACGCATCCTCCCTCAGGACAGTCTCAGCCTTGCCATTTGCTAGTTGAACTGTGTCCTCACCCTCCCATTTCATATTTTGATTCCGTAACCCCCCAGTACCTCTGAATGTGACTCTACTTAGACATAGGACTTTTAAAGAGGTGATTAAGTTAAGATGACGCTGTTAGGATAGGGCCTGATCCAATCTGACTGGTGTCTTCATAAGAAGATTTGGACACGTAGTGACAGCCAGGGAGCCCATGCAGGGAGGGATGGCCACGTGAAGAGACAGCAAAGGGGCAGCCATCCACAAGTCATGGAGATAGGCCTCAGAGGAAACCAGCTCTGCTGGCAGAAATTCTGTTGTGACAGCCCTAGCAAACGAATAAAATGAGATGTGCAAAATAGAAATCGAGGCATTTAGTTGATAGAGTGATGTGCTGCAGGTGCGCGCCTGGCTGCAGGGGAGGCTTGCATTTCACTGCTCAGCACCTCCCTTGGGCTTAGATCCTGTGGTTTACCTAGAGTGTGAGTGCCCCCTCTGGGCCACTGCTGGAACTGCAGGGAGAGAGGCTCCCTTTCTCACGTAGAATCTCCAGGTGTAAGGAATTCAGGCCTGCAGCTGTGTGGCCTTCTCTGCCACAGATTCGGACAGACCATCTGAAGATGAACACTAAACAGAGCAGGGCAGAGCCGGGAGATGGAGAGAAAAGAGCAACTGCCTGGTTTGCTTCCTGGATCCAAGCTTGCCTTCCAACCAGTTTCG